CCCTGCGTGCCACGCGCTCCCGTGCAAAGTGATAAATCAGGTCAATGTGCTTTGACCGCTGCCAAGCGATCGGGTGCTTGGGGAGCCGAATCGCTCCTTGGTTGTCGCAGTAGATCTAGACCGTTCCGAGGTCCAACCCGAGATCTCACCCGAGTTTGCGAAACCACAACGCCTCCTTCACCGCTTGCGCTGTGCTCAAGTACTCCGCCTCTATTGTCGAGGCCGCCACCGTTGGCTGCAACCTGCTCGACCAGCTCAACGCCCCCCCCCATACATCAGGAAGACGTGTTGAGATTCGGGCATTTAGTGTGCGCGATCTCTTGAGTGACGTCGACGGGAGTTCGACGATAACCGGTAGTCAGCGGTTGGCGGTTAAATGCGCGTGGCTTACAACGGTACACCCGAATGGCCTATTGAGATAACCGCCTTAATGAGTAGGTTCGATAGTAGCCGTAGATATGCAGATTTGCGCGAGATCTTTGGACTTGCTTATCCGCGGAGCCTACTAGGCTATCAGTGTAGATCTAGACTAGAAGTGTAAAATCGCTTGAGTGAGTCTAGCATAGCACACAGACTGCAGAGCTTTAGCGCTGCTATACTCCGAACACTCGATACGTATTGTGTGAACTTGATCATTCGATCATTTATTCCCAACAACGCCGTGTTTCAACAAGACGTATCCCGTCGTGGACCGTCTCGTGTCCACGTCTCCCGCGTAATCCGCGTCCCATTAACCAACGAGAGTCTCATCGCTCTTCCCGAAGGTCACCCCGTCCTCTGCCGTTCCCGCCAGGTAGCGCACAACTCCAAGCGCCGCCCGCCAGTGTGCCTCCGTCGGCCCCGCCATGTAGCGCGCAAGCGCGCCCACCGCCTGTGCGATGTCGGGCCTCGTGCACACGCTCAGGTACAACAGGCTTCCCACACACTCGCTGTATGGGAACCACTTCGTGTCGAGGGATTCAGCCTCCTTTGTTCACTTGTCTCCCATTCCAAGAGGAACGCTACGCGCCCGCGCGTCCGCCAGTCCGTAACGGCCAACCAGCTCCCCCGTCAGCTTCTTCTACGTCAGCTTCAGGGTGCGCGCCTTTCTATTGCGCGTCAGCTCCATCCCGAGGAAGTACGTTGCCTCCCCCAGATCGTGCACGTCGAACTTCTCCAACAAGTGCGGCTTCACCTTCGCAATGCGCTCCGCTCCACGGGCCGCCACGAGGATGTCGTCCACCCACACAACGAGGTAGACCCGCTTCCCGGCTACAATCCCCGTGAAAAGCGCTTCGTCCGCCATAAACGCCACGAAGTCGGAGTTCCCGAGCTCCTCCGTTCAGACGCATGTACCACGCACGCGGGGCCCGGCGCAACCCGTACAAGGTGTGCTTGAGGCGGCAGACCATACCTGGCCCACCTTCCTCATATACCTGCGGCTGCTGCATGTAGATCTCGCGACCACCGCCAACAGCGCATGCAACGTCGTGTGCTTGCTCACCGGGGCATAGACCTCGTCGAAGTCAATCCCCTGCTTCTGCTGGTAGCCCTTGGCCATCAGCCGAGACTTGTACTCCTCCACGTTTCCGTGAGCGTCCCGCTTGATCTTGTAAACCCACTTCATGGAAAACGGCTTGACCCTTTCCGGATTTTCGACGATCTTCCACGTCCCGTTCTCCAACAAGGAATGCGTCTCCTCGTCCATGGCCTTCCGCCAAAGGTTACTTTCTTCTCCCTGTACGGCTTCATGATAACTCTGCGCTTCTGTGCTCCCCTCAGGGGAGCACAGAAGTTGGCGCGGTACCACTCTCCCGGCCTGCGTCTCTCACGCGCTAGGTACCTCCGAGCAGCCGGTGTTGGCATTCCTATGTCCTCCGCAATCTCGTCCGGCTCTGCTCTTCTCTTCCGAAACTTGCCTATTTTGGTCGGTTTTGGACATCGTGCGTGCGACGCGGCCGCGGTCGATCGCAGGCAGTGCGCGTGTTCGGGCGCGGGGGCGGGCGCGGTGTCGCGCTCGCCGGCCGCCTCTGGGAAACCCTCCGTGGGATCGGAGCTCAGCTCAACAAACCTGTTGTCCCCCTCGCCCTCGTCAAAAATGATGTCTCGGGAGATCATGATTTTTCATGATTCTCTGTACGCCTTGGATTTCGGCTCGTACCCCACGAACACACACCGCTCCCTCACCGGATTCAATTCCCGACGCCTCTGCTTGGAGACGTGCCTGTAGGCTCGCGCCCCAAACACCCGCATGTGCCCCACGTTTGGGCTTCTTGCCGTAGAACGCCTCTATGGGGTCCTCCCGTGAGCGCTCATTGGGGTCCGATTCCGAGTGTATTTGGCCGTTACAACGGTCTCCGCCTACGTATCTTTGGGCAGCCCCGAATCCTCGAGCATCGCCCGGACCTTCTCCTCTATTGCCGATTGAGCCGCTCTGCCGACCCGTTCTGCTCGGCCGTGTAGAAGGCGGTCTTCTCGTGCACAGTTCCCTTGCCCCCGAACACGTCTCTGAGGGCTTTGTTGACGTACTCCTTCCCCCCGTTTGGCCCGACCGATTTAAGCTTCTTCCCGGATTGCGATTCCAACCGCTGAATCACGTGCTCGGTCACCTTGGCCACTTCGCTCTTCTGCTTCATGGGGACTACAACCGAGAGCTTGCTGTAGTCGTCCAAAAACGTGGCGAAGTACCGGCTTCCCCCTACCGAGGGGACCGGCATCGGCCCGCAGACGTCCATGTGGACCAGCTCGAGAGGCTCCATGCTCACCGACTCCGACTCTGAGAAGGGGAGCCGCGTTTGCTTTCCCATGATGCACGGCTCACACACCGAGAATTTAAGCGCCCTAAACGCCCCCGGTTTCACGCCGACTACCTCAACGAGATTGTCTTGCACCATCTTCGCCAGGTTCTCATACCGTCGTGCCCCATCCGTCGGTGCCACAGCTCGGCCGATTCCGGCTTTCTCTCGAGGAAGCACGCGTCCTCCCCCGGCGTGGCGCCCCCCCGCTTCATTTCCGAAAGCGGCCCCATTTGAACCACTTTTGGAGATGGTGCGTTCTCCGCCCGGTCGACTACGTAGATCCCCTTCACTTCCCGAGCTACAAGGACTACCTTCTCGTCAACCTCGAACTCACAGTTGCCGTTCTCCTTGAACAACACTGACGCGCTCTCGGTTGCCTTGCCGCAACCCCTGGATCGTACATCACGTTCTGCAGAGTTACCAGACAGTCTTCCGTTGGTGTCGCACACAGCAGCTCAACCGAGCCGCTCCCCCCTGCCCACAAGGTTCCCTTGTACCCAAACGAGAATTCTCGGCCACTCCCGTCAAAGATCTCGAGGGTCTCAAATAGGCTCATGTCCCCGGTTAGATGCTGGGAGCTACCCGAATCAACGAGCCACTCGTCCGCAGCTACCCCTTCAACCACGCTAAAGGCCACTCCTTTG